GAGTGCCTGCATGCGTGTGTCCTTCTGTGCGTTGTGTCCGTGCGTGTGCGTGTGCGTGAGCTGAGCTGGCTCCACTGGCTCCAAGTGAACGTGCTTAGCAAGTGAATATCAGAATGGAGTCAACCCTCTGTGATTCTCTCTCAATCTCCCTCTCTCTCTCTCTCTCTCTTGGTAGTCCAGTTCGTGAGCCCGGCAGGTCCTCAGTATTCCAGGGCACCGATGATGACTGACCAGCTCAGCCTGGCTCATTGTCAGGACTTGGAAGAGCAGATCAGTCAATGGGGGGGAGGGAGTCCTCCCAATCAGCTCCTGTTAACCCTGTAGCCAAAGTCCAATGGGAAGGGTAGTCCTAGCAGGAAAGCTGGTCAGATAGCAATATCAATGGCAAACTATGCGGTTTTATTTTGGTTCTTGGTGTCACCCTATCTATCACTGCAGCGCGCAATTGGCTGTTGTGTTTCGCCCGCAAAACACATTCACTGGACTTCACAGTAAATCCCACGAAGCACTTTGAGATGTTGCGTCAAAGTGATAAGGTGTTATATCAATTGCAAGGATTATTCTTATATTACAACATACCTCGTCTCTGCCATTAATTAAATGATTTATAAGGCATAAAGGAACATTTAGTTTGGAACATCGGTTATTTCTGCAATTTAATTGCTTTGAAATGAAGGGATGGGAAAGGTGCATTAGTAATTGGCAGCATTATTGCTAAATTATTTGGAGGCTAATTCTGTCTCAGTCGCTGTGATGGTTAATGCTAGGTTGTGCTGTTTGTCTTTTATCCTTGGGTGTGTACAGCTTATATCACTGACTAGTAATTCAGGCAGCCTTATTGAGTGAAATGGTCTGTACAGTGAACTCACCAATAGAGACACAATCCTAACTATTGAACCAGAAAATTCCCCCATTCACTCCAGTCGGCTGTAAGCAGTTTAGGGCAGAGCAATGAGGCTTATGATAATAATAATAATCCTTGCATTTGATATAGCGCCTTATCAAATCGTTGAGACGTCTCAAAACGCTTCACAGAATATCCTGCAAAGTGAATTAATTGTACATTGTGTGGGCGAAATACGGCAGCCAATTGCGCACACTATTAAGTATAAGGTTTATTATTATTATTAAGTATAAGAATGGCTCTCACTGAGACATTCTGGAGGGGAAGGGAGTGGGGGGATACTATTAACTCAAGCACCACTGGGGTTTAAATCTGTGAACGATGAGAAAATTCCCTTGTGCTCATTCTCAGGCTGACATGTACAGGTAAAATGTGTGAGTACATCATCCGGTTGCTATAGAGTGAAATGACCAGAATTAATTCAATGTGTCATTCTCTAAAGGTCACTGTCACTCCCAATTTTGCCTTACAAACTGTAAATAAATATTTATTTCCAACTCACAGACACCCCCCTCAACCCCACCGCCAAACACACACCCACACCCACGCACACACATCCTCACCACTTTGCTAAGGGAGTGCACAGAGAGCCAGAAGAGATTTTCATCCCATCTACAGAGCTTGAGCCAAACCCAGAGACCCCGGTAGCAGCACTAAGGCTGACTCTCTGCTATTAATTTTTCAAGCGCACGACAGAAATAGAACGAACGATAAAGAATGACTTTTCAAGAAAAAAAAATCCATAAGTCATTCATGACTTTGTTACTCATCGTATGTTGCCACGGTATCTTTACTCGTATCTCAAAAATAGGATTGCCAGAGACGCCAGGAATAATCATGGTTTCCGCCTCCAATTCACTTTTCCCTTTGATTTTTCCTGAATTCTCTGCGCAGCTTGGAAGCTCAGCACCCACTGATCCCCTGACCTGTGTCTCTCGTACAGATATTGTGGATATCTTGGTTTATCATAATACTACTACTAATAATAATAAGCCTTGCATTTGATACAGCGCCTTATCACGTCATTGAGGCACCCTAAAGCGCTTCACAGGATACACTGCAAAGTGAATTGGCTCTATATATTGTGGGCGAATGCAGCAGCCAATTGCACACAGCAGCGTCCCACAAACAGTCGTAATGCATCTTACATACCTCTCTGCAGATTGAGCGACCAATTTTTGGTCAATTTATTCCGTGAAGTGCTTTGAGACGTCTCAAAGACGTGATAAGGCGCTGGGTCAAATGCAAGGGTTATTATTATTATGCAACACTGCAATGCCAGAGTCTATATTCTCCTCTTGTTTTGCTTGCGTTCATTTTCTCCTGTTAATTTTATGCCGAGAGAAAACTGCAATACATCCTCAATCAGTGCTAAGGGACTGTGAAAATAAATCCCTGTGAATTTCTTATAAATAAAACATCAACACGGAAAGTGACTTTCCAAACCGTAACAGTAATGCCCATTATGTCATTAGATTTGCATCTTGATGATTGTAATAATGTGTATTATTGTGGCGTTCTGTAGGGTAGTGGTCAGCGCAAGCAAGAGGGCCTGGGTTCGATTCCCGGGCGGGGGCGAAACCTTAGGCAAGTTTTCGGACGTAATAATCCCTTAAAAATAATGTCACTGCTGTGCACATTTGGCTGCCGCGTTTTGCCCCCAAAGTTCACTTTACAGTATATTCTATGAAGCGCTTTGAGACTTCTCGAAGACACAATAAGGCGCTGTATGAAATGCAAGGATTATTATTATGCTGACGCGAGTGAAGTCAAGTTTGCTTTTCCTATTTCCATGATGGCAAAGGTCTGACTCTCTCAGTCAGTGTCCGAGCTGAGAGTGGGATACATGAATAATCCTATCTCCTGGCACAAAGCCAATAGCTGCCAGTATAACATATTATGTCCTGACCTTGACTATGTTCCAATCCTAGTCATCCTTTTACTGAGTAATGTTAAGAAATTGGATCAGGAATGTATCAGGGCAACAACGTGTCAAAGCATAATAATATTTTTTTGTTCAGCTGAATGTCTGACACACGCAGAAACCCATCACCGTTGCTTAAGAGTCTCCAAACCAAACCGAGAATTCCAGGCCTCCCACCTACACTTGGAGATTCCAGAGATAGATTGTTGGAAGGGAATGCTCTCTCTCTCTCTCTCTCTCTCCCTCCCTCCCTGGAGAGACGCATCCTGCTTACCTAATTCCGCAAAGGATTAGGCGCAGATTGGCAAGAGCCGAGGCTTAGAGACCCCAGAGCGTGCGTTGGGGTAACTGCTAGAGTCTAACCGGCTAAGCCCGCATAGCTTGCCATTGAGAGTGCTGTCTGGCAAGCTTTCCCATAACAATAATAATAATATTGGCTTGAAAGCCAAAGCCAAATCTCCTGTGAGTGAATGTCATGTCACCAGCTGAGATCCCTTTAGAAAAACAGAGCTTGCAAAGAATTCTCTTTAACCCGAATAATCTCGGTCCAAAAAGGTCCAAATTTTATTATAATAATAATCCTTGCACTTGATATAGGACCTGATCAACCTCGTTGAGACGTCTCAAAGCGCTTCACAGAATATACTGTGAAGTGTATATTTTGTGGGCCAAACACGGCAGCCAATTACCCCCGAAAAAGCGATCTGCCAATCGACTATCAACCGGGTTGCTACTTACTGCTGGGCAAACAGAGGCGTGCGGAGGAAGGAAACTTGCCTAAGGTTTCTCCCGCCCGGGAATCGAACCCGGGTCCTCTCGCTTGCCGAACAGCCTTTGTAAATCTGTGTAAATCTGTCCGTCACTGCTCTCTTCTGGCTTCTGTTTGGTACGAACGGCAAAAGGCTTGTGAGATAAGTTGCGAACTGGGCTGGGAGGAGTCTCTGAGCCTGATCGTACGACTGAGCTAAATTAAGATGTTTTAATGCCACAGTCCATTAGCTTAAGAGCGTGTGGGCTCTAACTGCGTGTTAATTCCGCTCCCCTGTGCTCACTGCGTAGGGGCTTCACCTGCTGTTGCCAAGAGGTGGCGCCACTGCTTCCTAATAATAATAATAATAACCCTTTGCATTTGATACGGCGCCTTATCGCACGGTCGAGACGTCACAAAGTGCTTCACAGGATCCGCTGCAAAGTGGAGTGACTGCACATTCCGTGGGCGAAACGCGACAGCCAATTGCGCACGGCAGCGTCCCCGCAAACAGCCGTTTATCGAGTGACCCCCAATTATTATTTTTATTCGAAGCTGTTATTATCCCCGGAAAGCGATCCGCCAATCGACTAACAACCGGGTGATGTTTAATCACCCCAGTTCCAGCCGGGCTCCACTGGCTCCCCACCGCCGAACGGAATCGATGTCCGGGCCCTGCCCCTCGTTTTCGAATCCCCTCGTGCCCTGGCACCTCGCTACCCGTCTGACCCGCTCACTCCCCAACCCACCACCATCCCCTGCCTCCGCTCGACCGGCTCCGGCCTCCTGCTACGTCCCTTGCGCCCTCCCCCGGTTCCACCATCGGTCGCGGCGTTTTCAGCCGCTGCGTCCCGAAACTCCGGAACTCTCTCCCTCGATCCCCCCGTGTTGCCCCCCACCCCACTCCCCCCCACCTTCCTTCACCGACTTCAAAATCTCGTCCAAGGACCTTCCTCTTCGACCAGTGCCTACGGCCACCTGCCCCCGGCTCGGCATCATGCTCCGTCACTGTCCAGCGCTCCGGGACCCTAACCCGGGTGAAGCGCGCTGGGTCAATGCAAGTTGTTGTTGTTGTTGTTGAAGGCGCCCCAGATAGAACTCAAGACAAGCTGCCTATAGCCAATATACAGCAGCTCACCCCAAATCAGGGTGACGCAAAAATACCCATTGCAGAGTGCTCCACAGCTAAGAAAAGTGGGTTAATGTTCCTCTGCTCCTCAGCACAGCGTTTCTGAGTCTCTGGGAGGTGATGTGCACCAGTCAGACAGGGAGAAAATCATTGTGATTTGGGGTTGTTTTTTTTGTTGAGGGAAAACCAGGCTATTTTATTCCATCTCCCACTTCTTCTCCCTCCACATCCACACACACACACACACACACAGGCACAGACACACACATACACAGCCACAGCTACACACACACACACACACACACCAGGCACAGGAACACAAGACATCAAGAGCAATTGAATTGCAAACCTGTCTCTCGTTTGGGGAATAATACAATACAATCTAAGCTGAAGGAAGCTGTTGGCGATGGCACTGGGGAGCTGTGGGGCAGTTTTCTCGTTGTTGTTGCTGACCATCTCTGCTCAAATGCAAGGTAAGAGGAATTCAAACCATACAGCCAAGAGGTGGATGGATTTGCTGTGTGTATGTGTTGGTCATTGAGTCCATTTCACGCCTCATTGTGTGGGTTTGTTGGGCTGATATCACTGTACAGATGGATAATAGTCTCAATTAGTCTCATTTTCTTTCTTTCCCTCTGTGTGTATCTCTCTGGTTCAGAAATTCTTCCCTCTATTCATCTCACATCTCATTTATTTTTCCTCTCCCTCATCATTTCGTAATTCTCCCAGTTCTTTTATTTTATTTAACCTCTGACTTTCATGCATTGACATTTTCCCTCCCTCATTCCCCAGCTCCTTCTCTTCTCTCTTTCTTTCCTCCTACTTTCCCTTCATCATTCATTCTCTTCGACCCCCTTTCCCCCCAACCTCCCATCTCTCTCTCTCTCTCTGTATATATATATATTTTTTCTCCTCTTTGATACCCTGTAAAATTCTTGCGATGCATTTTAAAAAAAGGGTAGAGAGAGAGATATTGATCTAACCACCCACGCATCTCTCTCTTTCTCTCTCTCTGTCTTTCTCCTTCACTATTCCTTCCTCTCATTGCAAACAGCACTTCTCTCTTTAAACCCCCAAAAAAAGACTTCAGCAGAAAAATGCACAGATAACAATATTTTTTTTCAAATTAGACTCATTACCTCGCTGTGTGTGTGTGTGTGTGTGTGTGTCTTGCTCAGAAATATTCTGCCCCACTCAGTTCACATCTTATATCCCCCCAAAAAAAAATTATTTCCCTTTTTTTAAATATGTATTGGCATTTTCTCTTTCTTTCTCTCTTTCTCTCTCTCTCTCACTCTCTCTCCATCCTCTCTTTCTTTTCTCCTACTTTTTCCATCATCTTTGAGTTCATTCCTGGCACACACAAAAAATTATCTGATAAAAACCCACATGGAATCTGATCCCAAGGCGCCCAAATATTCCATCCATTAGAAAATCGTGACTGTATTCGAGTGGATGTTTTTTTTTTGGGGGGGGAGGGGGGTTAAAGTAGGAGGAAAGAGAGATAAAATGTCATTGCAGAAAAATCAGAGATTAAAAATTAATAAATGTGGGAAATAAACATGGATTTGGGGATTTGTTGGAGCAAAATATTGTGTGGAGGCGTAAAATTAGGTTCCCATACAAACCCACAGCACCCAACAAAAATAATGCAACTATTTTCCAATACTTTGCTCTGGTGAGGTGCAGTGTCCTAGGACTCATTAGTGTTACAGGCGCGTCTCTTTCCAGTTCATGTCGTTGAGAAATCCCATCTCTGCAATGATTATCCGTTGAAAAAGTGTCTCTCTGTCACTGTGAATGACACTATACCCCCAACAGTGACCGAGAACCCGTCGAGACGCGCTTGCCATTCGTGCTGAGTTGTGCAATCGTACCAATCTTGACCCAAACTTTTGTTTTCTGGTTTGCATGTTGTGTTGCCCCCCCAAAAATAGTAATATATATGTTTGTGGAGGTGCTGTAGCATGTTGGTTAGCACGCTCGACTCGCAAGCGAGAGGACCTGGGTTCGATTCCCGGCCGGGCAGGGTGAAACGTTAGGCAAATTTCTTTACTCCACGCGCACGCCTCTGTTTACCGAGCTGTAGGCAGGAACCCGCTTGTTAGTCTGTCAACTAACAAAGATTGCTTTCCAGGGGTAATAATCCCTTTGAAAAATGAATGAAATAAAATAATAATAATTTGGTCACTCAATCTACCGCTGTTTGTGGGACACTGCTGTGCGCGTTTCACCCACAAAATCTACAGTCACTACAATTTACAGTATATCGTGTGAAACACTTTGAGATGCCACGAAGATAGGATGAGGCTCTATATCAAATGCAAGGATTATTACTAGTATTGTGTGTGTATATATATATATATTATATGCGAAAGGAGCAAATAGAGTATTAACTTTCCTGGTAGCTTGGGTAAAATTTATCACCATAATCACTGAGTATAATTTCCTTTATGACAAGGGAATAATGAAGTTTCCCTCGACGGAGAACATTGGGACATTGGAAATGCGTCAGTTCACAAGACATCAGCGAATCCTAGACTTGTTTTGCAGTCTCGAGTTATGGTTATATACATAGGAAGATATCGGCAAAAGCAAGAATTATCAAATGCAAGGATTTCTTTTTAATTAAATGATAATAGATGTGTTCACCACTCCTGAATTATTGGTTTTGGTATTACAAGTAATCCCTTCAATAAAAATAAATCAATAAAATAATAATTGGGTCACTCAATCAATGACTGTTTGTGGGACGCTGCTGTGTGCAATTGGCTGCCGTGTTTTGCCCACAAACCACACAGTCCATTCACTTTACAATATATTCTGTGAAGTGCTTTGAGACATCTCAATGACGTGATAAGGCGCCGTATCAAATGCAAGGATTATTATTGTATCAAATGCAAGGATTATTATTGTTATAATCGACGATTGATTTCCGTTTCCATTAAAAATGCAAGCCCATTTTATTGGCACATTCCTTATTTGTATTCTGGGCTGAATACAAATTTTGCAATTCACAGAGAACCCAACAAAACAACAACAACAGCAACGAAAAATCTGCTTTACTCGAGTGTTTGTGTGTGTGTCTGTATGTACTTGTATGTATTTGTGCGTGTGTGTTTATATGTGTGTGTGTGTTAGTATGTGTGTGTGTGTGTTTGTTTTAATCGTGGGCTAAACCCAAGACTTGGTGAGGGAGATTGAGGAATTGAGCCCTTGAATGCAATGTTATAGTTCTGTCTGATTATTGAGGTCAATTTCAGCACCAAATCCAAGTGGACAGTTCTCAGGAGAAACTGCCTGTGACAGAGGCTTCACAGCAGTACAGAGGCTGATGCTGGGAATCCACTCTCTCCATTGCACCTTTTGTCCTTGCAATGACCTCAAAGAAAATGAGGACTTTGTGTGAAACCCTCAATTTAATAAGGATTTAATAAGGATGGATGGTGCAAAAAATCGAGACGAAAAAATATAATAATGATAATATTTATCCTTGCATCTGGCAGTGCGGTGGATTAGTGGTTAGAGCCCTCGCCTCACATGCGATAGGACCTGGGTTTGCTTCCCTTCAGGGATGAAACCTTAGGCAAGTTTCCTAATGCTGCCCGTCTCTGTTTACCGAGCAGTAAGTAGGAACCCGGTTGTTAGACGATTGGCGGATTGCTTTCTGAAGGTAATAATCCCCTTCACCCCCAAAACAATTGGGTCCCTCAATCCACGACTGTTTGTGGGGACGCTGCTGTGCGCAATTGGCTGCCGCGTTTCACCCACAAAATACACAGTCACTCCACTTCACAATATTTTGTGTGAAGCGTTTTGAGACCCTTCAACGATGTGATAAGGCGCTGTATCAAAAGCAAGGATTATTATTATTATTATTATTATTATGTGCTCATTTCAAATGACATTGATAATTTTAAGAACGATGCTTGCACTTGTACTATCATCGTCGAGATGTCTGAAAGCGCTTCGCAGGGTTTTGCTATGAAGCGTAGCAACTGTGTATTTTGTAGGCGAACGCAGCAGCCAAATTGAATGACTGATTTTTTTATGACACATGATATTGAGGGTTATTAACCTCAGAGGACGTTGTTTGACATCAGCGAGAGTAAGATATCCACCACGTGACTGGTGGGTGAAAGTGCGTCACAGTTCTTGCTCAGGAAGTTGGTAACAGGATGAAGTGTGATTACGATTCAATGGGGGAACTGGACAACTGACCAGAACACCATCTCTGGGGCAATGTCACGTGTGAAAGGACTCCTGTGTTATAAATGATCTCAGACTGTTAATGGTTATTAAGATTCTACCAACGTGGAAATCCATTACTAGACTTGTTACGGGACTGACATTTATGGGGCATTGGGAAACAGCAGTTTTCTAGGCTTGTTTCCAAGACGCCAGTAGGGACTCCCGTGTTTGGTTGCAGCTTTTCATCATAATAATAATCCTTGCATTTGATACAGCGGCTTATCGCGTCGTTAAGGCGTCTCAAAATCGCTTCTCAGGATATACTGCAAAGAGGATTGACACTGGATTTTGTGGGCGAAACCCTCGCAGATTATTACAGAACGCAACGTATTTTAGGGAGATACGTTGTGTTTCTGTAATTGATTTTACACCTTGATCCAGTGAGTGAGTGAGAGCAAGAGATCAGAAAGGTGCAGATTTATGGGGAATTAATTCTTGAATTGAATGTTGAATACTGAATCTGGATTTCCCTGAAGATTCTTTCGAACGCCTTTAGAATGAAGCCTGAATTGATGGATTTGCCAAAAATTCTGCCCACTCTGAAATGCTGCGAACAGAGTTTCTGATCCTTGATCCAAATGGTAGTTTTTCTCCCCACCAGTCGGTCAGTTTATTAAAGCTTTAGCATCAAGTAAATAGGTGGCTCCTATTCAGGATAAATAAGAAATAATAATCCTTGCATTTGATATGGTGCCTTATCATGTTGTTGAGACGTCTCACATAAAATACTGTAAAGTGAATTGATTGTTTTTTGTGGGCGAAACGCGGCAGCATTGTCCCACAAACAGTCGTGGATGGAGCGACCACATTTTTCTGGGGGCAGGGATTATTAACTCCAGAAAGCGATCCACCAATAGCCTAACAGCCAGGTTCCTACTTGCTGCTGGTGTGGAGTAAGGAAACTTGACTAAAGGTTTTGCCCCACCGAGAATCGAACCCGGGTCCTCTCGCTTGCTAACCACTGAGGTACAGGAGACCAGAGGAGAGAGGCGATGTTGTGAGTCCCACTGACTTTATCAGAGGTGTGTTGGGGTGAGACATGATGCTTTTCATGAGATCACTGATCAACGGTTAATAACGGGGCCGTGAAATTCAGAGAAAAACAAGCTTTGTTTAATAAGGCAGCGTTTTCTATCGAGCTGACACCAAGATCACGGCGATCAAACACAAAGTCCGTAATTATTGACCTGAACCCCACACCACACAATGTGTGACAGGTTGC